GGTCAGTAGGCGCAAAGTTCTAGAGATCACTTTTTAATAGGCTTATATATCAACATAATGGACCAAGAAGTTGGGTGATCAGCTATGCCTATAAGCATAACGTTGCAGTTTTGTTTTGAAGAATGAGGAAAGAAAATTTCTTAAAAAATTAGAATCGATTTCGTGGTGAAGGACCATTTGCCTGAATCAGCTAATAATATACAATTCGGATCACTAATGACACCCTGTGATTGCCTGGAGAAGTCTTTAAGTTACGTTAATGAAAAAATCTTACTTACCACATTGTAATCAAGCAATTTCCCCTGCATTTCTTTGAGTTCCAATGCGCTTTGCTTTGCTCTAAATTAATCGAGAAAATATTATGTAGTAGCAAATTTATTATTAGTGTAGCTCAATCATACCTCTCCTCATAAGCGTCCAACTCCATTCGATCACGTAAGCCTTTTTGATAAACTTCCTCAAGACGGCCTATCTCAGCTGTTAGCTGATTCATTTTAGCTCTAATCAGTCCCATATAGTACGATTTATCATGAACTTGTCTCATGCCTGAGGCCAAAGAAATATTGCACTTTAACACTTTATGCTGATTATGTAGTTCTCACTTCCTGTTCCGAGACGGCTCACTGCTCTTCCTCCACTTAAGCCTTGCTGGGTTACGGGACGGATTGTCGGGCTAAGACCTGTTGGAGGTCGCGCCATGCCTGTGGCGGGACGTTCTCCAATCTAATAAAACACTCTTTCAAGCTACTGAAGCATCCTTATATCCATTCATGTGATTCATTATATCAATCATCTAGTTGACCCAACTGAGTCGCTTTCACTTCTTTCTTTCTCACTTCCTTTCTTTCTTCATTTATTAATTTGTTCCTCATATATTCATCATTTATATTTGATTACGCATTCATTGATTCACTCGGACCTTTCTTCATCCATATCCTTTCGTCCATTCGTTCACAAATACTCGTCACTCTTTGACTTTATTTATTAGTTCTTATGCATC